GAATAGTTCCCAATTGGCAAAGGAGTCAGACAAAGCTGCATCCTATCACCCTTTGTTTTAACTTTGACTGTTTTAAATGTTGTAACCCGCCCTGATTGCCGCGCAGAGGGGCGGGCTATAAATAACATATTATTATTATTATTATTATTATTATTATTATTATTATTATTATTATTATTATTATTATTATTATTATTATTACCAATTCATCTTATACACAGAGCATATTGTAAGGAAAGCAGGCTTAGACATGGAAGATGGAGGAGTGGAAATAGGAGAAAGAAATATCAACAATCTGAGATATGCTGATGACACCATAGTATTAGCAGAAAACTTCACAGACCTGGAACAAGATCAAAGAAGAATGTGCAAAGGCAGGCTTACTGTTGAACACAAAGAAAACAAAAATAATGACCACAGAGAAGTTACACATATTCAAACTAGACAGTGAGGAAATAGAAATAGCAAAAGAATTCTCATATCTGGAATCAAACATTGATTGGAATGGGGACTACAGCCAGAAAATCAGGAGAAAATTAAGAATGGGGAGGGCAGCAATGAAAAGAATTAGAAAAGATCCTAAAATGTAAAGACATACAACTCAGCACAAAAGTCAGAATCATATAAGCCATCATATTCCCTATTACCATGTATGGATGTGAGAGCTGGACAGTCAAGAAAGAAGATAGAAGGAAAATCAACACTTTTGAGATAATGTGGTGCTGGAGAAGAGTGCTGAGGATTCCATGGACAATCAAAAGGACAAGCAAATGGGTCATATAGCAGATCAAGCCAGAGATATCCCTAGTGTAGCAGAAAAATGGGGCAGAGAGACACCACGGACTGAAAGAAAGAGAGTTTATTCTGAAAAACACAAAATTACACTAGCAGGCTCAACAGGAAATAGCTTTCCAAAAAATGCTGAGCACAGAGTGAACATCTGACCAACCTTTTATAGGATCCCACAAATGTAGTGAGCAATTCTCCCTCCCTCCTTCACAACATTCAGCATTTCTTGCTAATCAGACATTGTTTTCAAAACATAGGAGTTTTACGTAGAAAATGTTTACAGTACAAGATGACTGTGGCCTTATCAGTTTTTCAAAAATTTCCAAAAAGTCTCATCTAGAGTCCCAGTTGATTAACTAGTCTGACCCTGAATCATAGGCAATCATGGACAGTCATTTTAAAATACAATTTTCAGGCAATTGGCTACTTTACTAGAAGCTAAGATGACAAGACCTAGACTGTCATACTTTGGACACATCATAAGAAAACATGAATTATGGGGGTGGATAATGTTGGGAAAGGTAGAAGGAAGTAGAAATAGAGGAAGGCCACATGATAGATGGATGGGCTTTATTAAAGAGCCCATGAATCAGTTTGCAGGAGCTGGGCAGAGCAGTAGAGGACGGGGGCCCTGGAGATATCTCATCCATAGGGTCGCCATGGATCGAGATCAACGCAAAGGCCATTAACAACAACAACAACAACAACTTTAAGTTAACAACAACAAAAAAAAATACTTTAAGGTATCCTCTAAGGGGTGAAGCAGACAGCCAGAAACGCATGCTCCAAGGTTGCTTCAGCCACAAGTGAATCATGGTCATGGCAACCGCACATCCAGTCCAAAAGTGGGCTGTTGGCACCAGACCCAGGCTGCGCTATCAGGAGCTGGATTATCCCAATTCCTTTTTTCTCTGGTTTAAAGGACTGGAGCACAGCCTCGGCATGGTTTTCACTGCACTGGAGACATGAGTCATATAAATGGCATGATTCTAACATGGCCTGAAGCCACTTCTTTTGGTCCATGTGTTTCAGGACTAAGGGCCTTTGCAGATTGCCAGAAATAGTGCACATTAAATTGAGGCACTGCCCTGGCTCAGTGCTAGGGAATCATGGGCATTGTAGTTTTTTCTGAGACATTGAGCCTTCTCTGTCAGACAACTCTGGTGCCACAATACATTACAGTTCCCATGATTCCCTAGCACTGAGCCAGGGCAGTGCCTCAATTTAATGTGCACTATTTCTGGCAGTCTGCAAAGGCCCTAAGATACTTAATTGGCAATACATTTATATAAATTGTTGCATTATTTATTTGTATTTATGTTGCCACCCATACTTTGTATTTTATTGTTGTTAACTGCCCTCGAGTTGATCATGACCCATGTATACCTTTTATTAATTATTTTTAACCAAATGACTGCTATTTTTTAAAATGCTGATGATTCTTAATATGTAGCTATCTCAGGCAAGTCTGCATTCTATCATCTTATTTGTTTAACATGCATGCAGAAAATATTATACACACAGCAGGTTTAAATCTGAAGGAAGGAGGAGTGAAGATGGGATGAAGAAATATTACTCTAAGATATGCAAATGACACCATAGTACTAGCAGAAAAGCAACAAAAATTTGGAACAATTACTAAGGATGGTCAAAGAAGAAAGTGCTAACACAGATTTGTTGTTGTGTGCCTTCAAGTCATTTCCATCTTACAGCAGCTCTAAGTGAATCTATCATGAGGTTTCTTGGGAAGATTTGTTCAGTGGAAGTTTGCCATTTCCTTCTCCTGAGGCTGAGAGTATGTGACTTGCCCAAAGTCACCAGTGGGTTTCATGGCCAAGCTGGGAATCAAACCCTGGTCTTCAGAGTTCTAGTCCAACACTCAAACCACTACGCCAAGCTGGCTTACTGCTGAACAAGAACAAAAATAATGACCATGGAAGTTTCATTCCTCTCCTGGAGGGGCAAACCCAGAAGGGTGTTTGGGGGACTCTTGCTTGACTATCGGCCTCAGGGCTTAGTCTGTCCCATGCTATTTAAAATATACATAAAACCACTGGGAGACATTGTCTGGAGTTTGGGGGTTTGGTACCACAAGTATGGAGATGACACCCAACTCTATCACTCCTTTCCACCACAAGGCAAGGAAGTTGTTTTGACCCTAAACCAGTGTCTGTCATCAGTAATGGAGGGAATGAGGATGAACAAAGTGAAATTTAATCCAGACAAGACAGAAGTTCTCTTGGTCACTCAAAAGGCAAATCAGGGAATAGTGATTCCGCCTATGCTGGATGGGCTGCAACCCTCTGAAGACACAGATGTATAGCTTGGGTATGCTCCTGGATTCATCTCTGAACCAGGAAGCTTCAACTGGTCGAAAAAGCCGCAATCAGATTACTAACTGGCTGGCTACAGGGAACATACAATTCCCTTGTTTCAACAGCTTCACTGGCTGTCGATCTGTTTCCAAGCAATTCAAAGTGCTGGTTTTGCTCTATAAAGCCCTATATGGCTCAGGTCCAAATTATTTGAAGGACCATGTGCTCCATTACAAATCAGCCCATGCTTTGAGATCCGCTGCAAAGGCCCTTCTCCAAGCCCTACCACCCCCACAGGTACATCTGGTGGAATAAGGGAGAGGGCTTTCTCGGTGGCTGCCCCCAGGCTCTAGAACTCTCTTCCCAGAGAAGTTAGATTGGTGGCCTCCCTACTTTGTTTTTGCAAATAAGTAAAGACTTCTCTGTTTCAACAGACAATTGATGAGTGACTATATAAGGCTCATCTCACCTGACCCTGCCAGTGTGTGTGTATGTGCCAGTGTGTGTGTATGTGTGTGTGTGAAATGTTATATGTTTTAATCTGGATTTCAATTTTTGATTGTTTAATCTTGTTTTAATCTTGTGAATTTTTAACAATGTGTTTTTTAATTTGTTGTAAGCAGCTTTGAGTCTCAAACTGGGGAAAAGGCAGGATATAAACTAAATAATAATAATAATACCAGCAGCAGCAGCAACAACAATAATTTACTCACTATAATTAATAAAATAATAATAATTTTTATTTATAGCCCGCCTCTCTGCCCAACAATCGAGGTGGGTTACAACAGTTAAAAGCAGAACAATGTAAAAACAACCCCAACCCTAAATCTCCACTCCCAGCCCCTTAAAACAGAATTAAATGAGAGATTGTTGTTAGCTACCCTATAATTCTTGTTATCTACCCTGAATAGTCTGGAAAGACTTGAGAGACTAATATATATGTATGTATGTATAAACAAAAGTAATACATGTTGGCAAAAGAAGCCACTATCATTTTGAAATATTATTCAACTGTCTATGGCATTGATAAAAAAAAAAAAGAGAGAGAGAGATGAAGAGAGATGAGGTTTGAGTGCAGGATCCCTTGGTGGAATTCAGAGTTCTATTAAAGGAATAAAGAGTTAAATAGGCAGGAGAGTTTAAGTCAGAGGCAGATGGGAACAATTAAAATTTAGAGAGTTACCTAAGAGTGAAAAGAAACTGAATAGAGAAGTACTTGCAACTGTTGTTTATTGTCACTATTGTAACATACCATCTATGAAACTATATTAAATAAGCTATACTCTTACTGCCTGTAAATGAAGTTGAGTTTTATTTATTTCAAGAGCAGCTTCTGACTGTGTGTATTAATAACAATAAAAGCACAGGAAACACACTACCTAACATTTAAAGGTTATGGGAGAAGGACACTGAAGAACCTAACCCTTAAACCAGGGGCAGGCAACCTTTCTGAGACCTGGGCCGGTCTCCCGT